TTTCTTTTTTCTTATATTAATTACAAAGAGAATACGTCTAGGCATCAAACAACTGAAATGAAAAAAAAAACAAAGAGATGATATAGCATTTTCATAATATTTATTGATTTGATATTATCAGAAGAGTACTCAACAATGATTTTTGTATTTTCTTATCTCGACATTTGTCTAAAATAGTTTAACTTTACAAAAAATAGTTTTTTTTAAATGAAAGGTTGTAAGCGACTGATTTACTGTAGAAATATGTTATATTTTAGATTATAATATACAAAAGATTTAATTCAAGCTAAACATGAACACCCGATGTGTTTTTTGTACCATATTGTGTACAAGTTACTGTTGTCCACAATGTAATCAAATGAATCGTGGTCTAAAATTTACACGGTTGCTTCAAATTTTGGAAAAATGTTCTGAATGTATCATGTACCATGACGAAATCAGTTCTGTTGTGCAACGAATTCAACAAGTGAGTTTATTAGATTAATGATTTAATTATGAAAAGAAGTTTGTAGATGCAACCAATTTTGATGCCACTTCAATTTCGTCCCACTCAAGTTTTTGATGAGACAAAACATGTAGTAGATGGGGTAGCTAAGAAATATCTTGAAAAAGCGACTGGTGATGTACATCATCTTGTTCCGATCGAAGTTCTTGCTGATGGAAACTGCTTATACAATTCTATTGTTCTTCTAATGAATCACCCAGCAGTAACGACAAGTGAATTACGGGGTATACAGATTTATTTTTCTTTTATATTATCGTATAATTTATTGTCAAACAATTTTTAGTTCGGACAATTATTGAACTTGTAACAAATGAAAATTATTATGAAAATATGTATTCAAAATACGTCGGATCTGTCAACATCGCTATCAAAGCTATTTGCAAGAATTATACATTTTCTGAATTATATGAAATAGCAGCACTATGCAATATACTTCAATGTAATATACGAAGTGTTTATCCAAAAATTGATTTTCAACAATATATGGCAATTTGCGATAACGTCTTTACGCCTGTTTTACCTATTATTGCTAATTGTAACATTGTAATTATGTGGTCAAATGCCTCGAATGAAAAAGATGCTCGAGAGGCAAATAATGGCACATGGAGTCCAAATCATTTTGTTCCACTCATTCCACCAGCTATTCATAATGATTCTAATAATGGTAATCAAT